CTCTATTGTTAATACATGTAGCCTACCATTGATGTCATAGTCATAGACGTTCGTTTTTGTTTTTTCAATTGTCCAACTATGAGCAATGCGTCCGGAGATGAGAGTATTTCTTCAATTTAAGAAATAGAAGAAATGTATAATAAAGATTAATTTAAAAGAATCATGGCCTCTGTTACGACCCATGAAACGAATTTTAGCAGAGAAGACAGAGCTTTCCACAATTTGAGCATTAATTTAAAAAAGCGTCATTTCCACGTGTGGATGCGTGCAGCTTGCGGATTTATTTCTGGCTTCTTCAGCGTTTCTAATAATACATGTAGTTCTCGAAGCCTCCTGCGATTAATTGCTTCCCTCTGTGACCGCCGCTCTTTGACCGATGAGTAATAGTACAACGATAACAGAGACGACAAGAACATTAAAATAATCAACAAACGAAAAACGAACCGGTGGGAGTAAGCTTGACACATTTCCCACAATTCCTGCCACACCAAGAACTATATCCGCCGTTGTCGTAGTACATCTGGTTGGGGGCGGTCACGTATTTGGACAAGTTCCAGTCGAAAGGAGTGTCTGTGGATACAGTCGTGAGACAACTACAACAACGACAACAATAATAACAACAACAACAACATCAACATCAAAATAATACTAATAATGATAATAAAAATGTGCCTAATAGCAATAAAACTGACAACAGTCATAGTAAAAGTGTCATCACATTGTGATGTAGCGCATATCTTCGCCCTAAAGCATGCTCTGTGAGCTTTACAAAATTACAATAGACATGCCAATAATGCCATAAGGATGATGATGATGATAACGACACGACGACGACGACGACGATGATTATGATGATGATGATACATGTATGCATATTTCTCTAGAATCATTCAATATCAAACCAGTATCCCATCATCACCTTCGCGCACCACCACGCACCACCACGCACCACCACGCACCAGACTGTGGTTCAGAGACCTACCACTGTTGGAAGGCCCGCAGCCACACGATCCTCTGTGCCCGTCGTTATACCTCGTGGTGCTGGCACACTTCTTGCCGTTGTATACCCTCACGCCTTGGCTGTTCCTGTGACATTTCTGCTCTGCCACGGCACAGGCTGCGGGGAGAGTAGAAGTAGAAAAACAAATGTGGGAGTTGGAGGCGTCGTGGTGAAATCAAGCGCTCGTCAAAATAAGGTAATGGAAGAAACCGACTTTTTTTTTCGCTTTTGGGCATTTTTTTAAATCGATATTTTTTAAATCAGTTATTTATGTAAAAAATTGTATTTATT